GGTGGCATGGTGGTTAAGAGTGTGTTCTTACATGGCTGGCTGCAATTCAAGACCTGGACCTGGTGGCTTGCTTTCTCACTTTTCCTTTCTCTCTGTCTCTGATCAAGTTAAAAAATAATAATAAATGAAATAAAATAAGTAATTCTTCAGGGAAAACATAAAAAAGTAAACTTCCCTCGCCAGAATGCAAGCTGCACGAAGAGACTTGTTCCCGGCTACTGCTCCCAGTTCTTTGGACAGTGTCAGCCACACGGGAGGCTTTCAGTATGTATTGCGGCAGTACAGGAACACCTGTAGTCATTTCTTCATGCCATGCATTCAGCCTTCTTTCTGTCTCATTTGAGACCTCTCCTCTGCAGGGGACTGAATGTTTGTGTCACTGCCCTCTCCGACCTACCTAGTTCATATGTTGAAACCCTGACCCACAATGTGATGGTATTAGGAGGTGGATCCTTGGGAAATAATTTAGATCCAAGGGTGAAGCCCTGATAATGCAGTTAGTGCTCTTATAAAAGGAGAGCCCGGAGAGTTTCCTGGCCCTCTGTTAGTGAGAATGCATTGTGACGGTGGCATTTGCAAACTAGGGAGTGGGCCTCCTCCCAAGGACTACCATGTTGGCACCCTGATCTTGGATCAGGTATCCAAACCGTACCAGATAGTTTGTTGTTTAAACCAACTGTTCCATGGCATTCTCACTGCAGCAGCCCGAGCAAACCGAAGAGCCCTCTTCAGTAGCTCGTGCATAGTAGTGGTGGTCTTCACCCTGTTGTCATTGCTGTATCAGAAGTATAAAATAGGAGTAAAGAAGACAAGCTCTCCGGCCCACCTTTGTTTTCTGTCCCACATGAAAGTTTGGATGTGGGGACCCGCAGACGCGTAATAGCTGTCACTGGACTCCCATGTAGTCGACTGCGGTTCGAGTCCTGGACCCGGTGGCTTAAACTCATGCTGAGTGTGTGTGTGTGTGTGTGTGTGTGTGTGTGTGTGTGTGCCCAAGATCCTGAGAGGAGAATGGAGGAGATGGGGTTATGGCGTGGCCATCACCCCTGGGGGGCAGTTTCTTGCTTTCTGTCTCTGTCTGGCAAACGCATGCACCCTATAGGGGGAAAAAAAAAAACTCTCCCCCAAAAAAGAAAGTTTGGATGTAGTTGTAATTGTGCCTAGGTTAGAGGGCTTAGAGGGTGGGGGGTGTTGGTGTGGGGCAGCAGCTCTTAGAACAGTGACAGCAAAGACTCTGGTTACAGTGTTCTCACCTCTGCAGCTTCCATGACCATGTTTCTGTCTTTTTTTTTTTTTTTTTCCATATACTAATACATGCACCTGGCTTTTTAGGCCCGTTTACTCTTTCATGGGCAGATATTCTTCTTTTTTTGGTGGTGGGGGGGAGGTTTTCGCTATAGGGCACGCGCCCTCGCCAGACAAACAGAGAGAGACATAGAGACAGAAAGCGAGAAATCACCCCCCAGGGGGGGATGGTCACGTCACAGTCCCTTCTCCTCCATTCTCCTCTCGGGATCTTGGGCACACACGCACACACACCCGGCATGAGTTTTAAGCCACCGGATCCGGGACGCGAACTGCGGTCGACCACGTGGGAGTCTGGCGGCATAGCCATTACGCTAACTGCTGGTTCCCATGGGCAGATATTCTTCATCTGTAAATGGATAACCTCGGGTATATTATCTCTAGTGCTCTTTCTGGTTACAGGTAAGAGACAGGCTGGCATAGCAGTTAAAGCACACAGGTCTGAAGTTAGACTTCATGACTTCACCTCTGCCACTTACTAGTTAACCTGAGCAAGTTACTTCCCCTCTCTGTAACTCAGCTTTCTCCTTTGTAAGATAAAGTCCTGGCCCATCTCATAGGGCAGTATGTGCAGTGATTCTTTGTAATGACTCAGTGTTTGCTCGTCCTGAGCTGGAAGAGAGAAGCTGGTTTTTGTTTGTTTTTCCAGAGGATGCATGTGTTTGCCAGAGGGAGAAAGCACTCTCCAGTAGAGCGTGATCAGGCCGTAATCCCCCCATTTCTCCTTCCTGTTGGGAATCTTTGGCACACGTGCACTTTAGCCTAGCATGTTTTTTAAGTTTAAATTAGGTGTGTTCTGCGCTTTTTGATGTTGCGAGTGATTAGACTGATAATGAGCATTTCAACCAAATGAACCTATTCAATGTCTTGTTCTTGCTTTCCTCCTCTGGCTCCAGGTGCATGGGGAGTCTTTGAAAAGTTTGCAGAAAATGCTTGCTACGTACTCCCATGCATGCATGGATTTCAAAAATGTTTGTGTCAAAGTAAACTTGTACTTTCATTCTTACCATGAACTTTTTGAAGTGTTCTTCTCTAGTTTTTGGCAGACAACAGTTGTAGGGTTTTTGTTTGGTTTGAGGTTTTTTGTTTATTTCTTCTGAGAGAGACACAGAGAACAAACTTACCAGGGTATTGGATCTGCAGCCCACTCCCTAACCTTCAGCCAGCTCCAGATCCTGGCAGGCCTGCAAGCCTGTGCCCAGGGTAGTTGGGAAGGTCTCTGGGGTTCCTTGCCCAGCCTCGCATTACTGGCACACTGCTGTCTGGCCCCTGCTTGGATTTTGGTCTTATGTTTTGATGCTGGGAGAAAGGTAATTTGAGGTAAGAGTTGAACCAAGTCAGTGTTCTCTGAGAGATCTTGTTACTTCTTGTAAAACAGTTCGATCAAGAAGCAGATCTCACTTAGCATTAAGAATTATGGAGTACCTGTTCTTTAGACATCGAGGTAGCAGAAGACTGTTTTGTTGTCTGGGTGCATCCACTCTAGCTTAAGAGTGAAGCCAACAGAAATTAAGACCAGAGTCATTCCATCTGTCGGTCTTATTATTGGGAAATAGTCTGGGAATTCAAAGGAAAGGGGATGGGAGGGCCTACAGGTGCTTGGGGGATTAGGAGCTGGATTCCCACCTGGCCAACCCTCTCTCCCCCCTCCCCCGTGTCTGATCAAAGTAAGAAAAATTAAATAAATAAAATTGGATAGATAATTCTCAGACCAGCAGATGGTGTAATGGTTATGTTGTTGGACTCCCACATGGTTGACTGTGGTTTGAGTTTCGGATCTAGTGGCTTCAAACCACGCTGGATGTGTGTGCATGCCTGCTCAAGACCCCAGGAGAAGGGATTATGGTGTGGCTAGTGGCTACCCACCCCGGGGTGGATTTCTCACTTTTTGTCTTTGTCTCTCTAGCGAGTGCATGTGCCCTATAGCCAAAAAAAAAAAAAATTTCTCTTTAAAAAAACTTATTATTTTGAGAAGACAAAAAAGAGAGGAGGAGGACTCTGGAGCTGGAGTGATACATTCAGCCAGCCCTTAGAGGATTTGAGCTGGGGCCTGCAGTGGGAAGATCAGATCCAGGGAAAGTAATGACAGTGTAGATGGGGGACACATGCCATTGAGTACTTACTGCCGGGCCGGCCTGTATCCTAACAGACACTTAGGTCTGAGGTTGTAAGAACTAGTGACTGGGACAAAGACTGAAAGCCATCAATAAGATCTTGTGTCTGGGAGGTAGGAGATTATTTGTGGGGGGTCATTACTGTTCTCCATATAAATAGGGGAAGAAGACACCCCCCAGTGAGGTGTGACCATGCCACAGTCCCCTCTCCACTATTTTTCCAGCTCATTAAGATTTGGGGCATGCACATATGTGTGCCTGGTGTGTGTTTCAAGCTGCCGAGGCCGGGAGTTGTGGGATTCGGCTCCCTTAACCACTAGGCCAGCCTAGGATTCTTTTTTTAACCTATTGCATTTGCATGATAACATGTACAGGGTCAGCTTGATGACAGTGGTAGAGCACTATGCAGGTGATGCCAGAGCCACATGCAAGATTGCAGCCGACGCTCTCGGCTCTCTGCGCATGGTGTGGCGGGGGGGGGGGGGGTGAGTGCAGCACAAGACCCTGTTGAGGATGCGTCTCTTTCTTTTTCCCGTCTCATTATCACGAAAGAAATTTAACAAGTAGAGAAGTCCTGTATTCTTTGGACATATATTTATTGATGGCCAACTATGTGCAGACTTTGAAAAGGCTCTAAGGGATGCTTGGGATCAAAACCAACCAACCTTGTCCTTGTGGGGCTTCTGGTTTAGTGTGCAAGGGTTATGAAAATCCTGTAGCTGTTGTCCTGAGCTGTAGTCAGTGGGAATGCTGTGAGTAAGAGCTTAGGGGGTAGGCCACAGTGTATTCGAGGACCAAAGGCCTGTGCAGCTGGGACAGGCATGAGGGCTGACTAGTGCAAGCGGGGCTGGAGAAGCAGGCGGAGTCTGGCCAGGGGTGCTAAGTGACGGTGATGGAATCAGGTTGGAGTCCGTGTGTGAGTCGGTAGTTAACCGGAAATGTATGTGGTGGGTGAAAAGCAGAACTCCGAAGAGAAGAAGCAGGAAGGTGAACGTGAGCTAGTTAGAGAAGTGGGATTGGACCAGAAAAGAGCAGCAGCAAAGACTAACGGCAGACCCTCCTGGAAAGGCCGCAGAGGAACACAAGTTTAAAGGCACGTTGGACTTGGCATTGAAGATTTTGGTGACCTCCAAGCAACAACGGGATTTTAAGAGATTGAGGACGAAGAGTAGGTGGTTAAGAAGATGAGATGGTGGCTTTAAATCACCCATTTACAAAACTGCTAGTGAAAGCTGTTTTTACAGGCTTTAAAATGCATTTACTCAGCTAAGGTAATCGATCTCATGATGTGTTTCAGATGAAAAAAAAGATATTGACCACGAGACGGTGGTTGAAGAACAGATCATTGGCGAGAACTCGCCTCCTGACTATTCAGAGTATATGACAGGGAAGAAACTTCCTCCTGGAGGAATACCTGGCATTGACCTCTCAGATCCTAAACAGCTGGCAGAGTTTGCTAGGTAAGTAACACAGACTTTGCTTTTCCATTCATACAGAAAGAGCTTGAGTATGGCCGGCTGTGTCCCTGTGCCTAAGTCACAGTAGTGGTTTGTATTCTTTCTGTGAGGAAAGCTCTGAAAACAAAAGTGGCCAGTTTTATTTTCAGTAGTAATTATGCTATTAATGTGAGTGGCAGCATTTTAGATCCCTACAGACAACACAATGAGACATATACTATTTTAAAAACATCTATTATTTATTTATTCATTCATTTATTTTAATTTGACCAGAGAGAGAAAGAGAAAGCAAGTTGCCAGGTCCAGGACTCGAACCATGGTTGGCCATGTGGGAGTGTCCAGCGCCTTAACTACCATGCTACCTGCTGGTCCCAGAGACATATATCTCTTAACTCCATAATTGGAATTGCTTGTGAGGAAATAAAATTGTACAGAATGTGTTTCGAAATGGCTATCTTCACACTACCCCAGCCTCTGCGTACACTCTCATAGGCCTGTGTTGAACTGGGCCAAACTGTAGGACCCCTGGGTCTATGCTGGGTTCAACCAACTGACCGTGGGGGAAGGTTTCGTGAGCTCACGTTTCACTTGTCATCAGTGCTTTGTAAAGGAGCCATGACAGGAAGATGCCATGTCCTAGCTGACAGCCCTGTTGTCATGCAGGTGAGCAGTCAGGGAGCCCCCACCTGCTGGGTGTTTATTTGGTATTTGCTTTGCCAGAAAGGGGCTGGGCTCCTACAAAAGCCAGTGTTTTCTTTCTCGCTTTATCATCAGTACTATTTCGGAGTTTTCACAAGGACATGGAAAAAAATGGGAATGTAGGAACTTTTAAATAAAAAGAACTAGTAAAATAAACCCTGGAGTGGTGTAATGGTTACGTTGCTGGACTCCCATTAGTTGACCGCAGTTTGAGTACTGGGCCTGGTGGCTTAAAACTCAATACTGGGCATGTGTGTGTGCATGCCTAAAACCCCCGAGAATAAAGGGGAAGAGATTGACACCCTATAGCAAAAATCTCTCTTAAATAAATAAACATACAAACCCTGGTGCAGAAGACCCAACTGCTTTCCCCACCGGATGTTGAATGGAACCTTAATAGTTCAGTAAGTTTAGACAAGGGCACGATCAGGAGGAAAGAAGTGGTCCAGTACCTTCTAAGAACAGAACGAGGCACCTCTTTTCTTTCTCTTGGGAGCAGAGCAGTGTAGGGCAATCTCTGTCACCTGGAGCCTCATTTTCCCTACTCATCAGGTACGCATACGAATCCTACTGCATTCTTTTCATTTTAGTTCTAGTTTTTTTGTTTTGTTTTGTTTTTCATCATTATTGTTATTTTAAATTTGACTAGAGTCAGACACACAGAGATTGAATGAGAGAGAGAGAGAAAGCAAGCCACCAGGTTCGGGACTTGAACTGTGGTCAGCCATGTGGGAGTCCATCGCGTTTAACCACCACACCACCAGCTGGCCCCAGTTTTAGTTCTAGTTTTTTGCTCTAGGGCACATGTGTACACTAGGAGTGAGATAGGGAGAGAAAGTGGGAAATCACCTCCTGGGGGAATGGACATACCACAGTCCCTTCTTCCTCTTCTCTCCTCTTGGAAATTTAGGTGCGCATGTACACGTACCTGGTGTGATTTTCAAGCCACTGGATCTGGGATTTGAGCTGTGCAATTAGCCATGTGGGTTCTAGCTATCCTAATCTCCTTGCCACCTGCTAGACATACACCCCCACCCCTACTTTTCTTTTTTATTAAAAAAACAATTTTTTTTTTCCCTTCCTTCCTTATTTGACCAGAGAGGGACAGAGTGAGATAGAATAGAGAGAGAAAAAGTGAGAAGCAAGCCACCAGGTCCAGGTCTTAAACCGCAGTCAGTCTTGTAGGAGTCCAGTGCCCCAACCACCATGCCACCTGCCCCCCCCCCCCCCCTCCTCTTCCCACCCCCCCCCCCCCCCCCCCCCCCATTGCATTTTGATATAGAGGATTCTTAACCTTTTCTCCAGTGAAACTTTATATTTCTATCTTTTTTTAGAGAGACTTTTGCTATAGGTCATGTGCACTCACCAGAGAGACAGAAAGCAAGAAATCAACCCCTGGGGGGATGGCCACACAACAGTCCCTTCTCTTCCATTCCCTTCTCTGGATTTTGGGCATGCACGCATACATGCTTGGTCTGAGTTTTAAGCCACCACGTCTGGAACTTGATCTGCGGTCTACTACTTTGGAGTCCAGTGACATAACCATTTCTGCTATCTGCTGGTCCCCATGTATTTTATATATATATATAATGTATTCATTTAATTCCATTTGTTTTTGTTTGTTTGACCAGAGAGAGAAAGGGAAAGGGAGAAAGCAAGCTGCCAGGTCTGGGACTCGAACCATGGTCAGCCATGTGGAAATCCAGCGCCCTTAACTACCACTCTGACCTGTTGGTCCCGGTCCCCATATATTTATGTCTTATGGCAGGTTAATAAAGTTCGGGCTTTGTTCTTTTGTTAATAGTGTATTCCAGCTTCCATTGCTATTTGCATTTCAAATATAATTAGGTGAGTCAGTTGCTAACTGCCTTCTTCCACCACCACCATCAAAAAAATAAAAACGGGACCAGCAGGTGGCATGGTGGTTAAAGCGCTGGACATTCCCACATGGTCCACCACCGTTCAAGTCCTGGACCTGGTGGTTTGCTTTCTCACTTTCTCTTTCTGTGTGTGTCTCTGTCTCTCTCTCTGGTCAAATTAAAATAAATGAATGAATAAATTAAAAATTAAATAATTCTAACCAAAATAATTAGAAATAAAAATGGAATCTGCAGGGTCAGTGGTGAGGTTAGGCTTTGGGGGCAGATTAAGCCAATGCCGTCCCGTGTCTAATGTTGCTATGTGTTCTTCAAGTAAGCTCTTTCTTATGTACTTGGAATTTTAGAGACAATACAGAGGTGGGGCAGAGGGACCTGAGAAGGATTCGTAGAAGGGCAGCATTTGATTTGAGCCCTGGAAGACGCAGTTTGAATTGGTAGAAACGATGTTGGCCAGTGCGGCCTCCATGCCAGAGCAGCACGCATACAGCAGGAAGTGCACGTTCAGGACGCAGTGTAGTCGGGTAGAAAGTAGTCTGTAGTCAGTGCCTGGGCATCGGGGTGCTTTCAGGGAGGTGACTGAGTTTGGATCCCTTGGAACCTGGTCCATACGGTCCGTGAACATTGTCCCAAGATCGATACACTGCTGCTAGCACTTTTGAGCAGCAGAGCAGGAGGCCATGTGCTCCGAGCTCTCATCTGAGAGAACTCCTTGGCAGCTCCATCCAGTCTGTACGGTGCAGGGGCAGCCCAGAGGAGGAGCAGGTCAGTGGAGCAGGAGCTGGAGTAGTGGTAAAGGGATAAATGTGGGGATTATAGGAGACGAGGGAAAGGTGCAGGACCATGTTGATGCGGTATCTGCCAGGAGGTGGGGGACAAACATGGAGGAATTGAAATGGACCTTAGGGCCTGCCTGCCTGTGGCCTGGTGGTTAAGGCAGCTGGACCCCACATAGTGAACCACATTGTTTGAGTCCCGGACCTGGTGGCTTGAAAAACATGCCAGACGCGCCCTTGCCCAGAATTCCTAAAGGAGGGAGGAATGGAAGAGAAGGGATTGTGACCTGACCCTCCCTGTTGTCAATTTCTCCTTTTTCTCCCTCTTTCTGTCTCTCTCACAAGTGCATGTGCCCTCTGGGAAATTTCCCCAGAAAAAGAACAGTAAAGTCTTCAAACCTTGGGTGACAGGGAAAATTAGGGTAAGGTTCTTGTCTGGGATTTAAGGTAGGCAGTGTTTGGTTTTAGAGTTAATGGACCATCTATGTCGGACTTTAGGTGGTTTGGGTTAGAGTCATCTGATGACAGCGGGCCACAAGCTTGGAAGTTCTGGGTTCTTTGAGGTGGAAAGGCTTTGGAAAGAACAAAGCCTACCATAACATCTCGGGGAACCTGAGTATCTGAAGGGGAGAGAACCCAGTACTGAGCAGCGGGATTGTTCCGACAAGCAGGAGGGACTTGGGACTGGCAGGTACCACAGCGGCCAGTGGGATCTTGTCCCGAAGGTCCGGGAGAGGGGAGAACACCTCTCTAGATGACACATTGCCAGGTGGTTCCACTGGAAGGGTGGGGGCTGGGAGAAGCATTTGAAGAGAGAAGGATCCCGTGGGCAGTGAGTGAGCAGAAGAAAGTAGGCATCATTGACCATTGGTTTGTTCTCTCTTCCTGAAAAATGGTGGCTGCTGGTAGGAGAGCTTGTCCTCAGTCCCCTGAACAGAAAACCCAGGGGCAGCAGAACTGTTGGCACAGTGACCTGGGCTGCCTTAGACAGTCTGCCTGTGGGCTAGGACCCAGCTACCAGGTCCAGCCAGCCGCTGGTGGAATTTCAAAACACCAAGGATGAAGAGCCTAAGTTTCCAGCGAGATCGGCCTTCTGTAAAAGAACAATAGACCCAGATGAGACATGTCTTCCACAGCAGTAAAGGTGCTGAAGACAGTGAAGCAGTATACTCTGAGAGGGGAACTGTAAACGTAGACTTCTTCATCTTTCAAAGCCATGAGGTTAATATAAGGCCCCGACTTAAAGAGACCTAAGTGTGTATTTCATGCATCCTCTCAGGTGGTTGCATGAGGATATGGTAGCGCAAAATGATGTCAACCTGACAGGGAAGACTTTCAGTGAAAAATCCAGAGGATAGCAGGCTGGAAAATGTATTTTGTTGAAAATAGGAAGTCAGTGAGCTATAAGGATTTCTTTAAAAAAAAAAAAAAATCCCATTTCATTCGGTAGTGGATAGCATGAGTAAGGCCCTGGGTGCTGTGGGAAAGAGGCTTCCAAAAAAAGAGTAGACTTCCTGAAAAGGGGTGAGGGCATGGGACTAGGAGACGGGCCGTGATATTGACATTATTCCAGGAGGGAGAGCTCATTTAACATGCCTGCAGGAAGATCCTCTCCTTGGTACTTGCAGCTCTTGTGTTGGGTTTGCAGAGC